ATATATATATATATATATATAGATCTTGAGTACTATTGTACATAGAGCTGTCAACAAATTCACTAATGTGGTAATGACTGATCAAAATATTACTTTAAAACCCAGTTATGAAAAAATTAAAAGTGAAGCTTTAATTTTGACATATATTCCAGGTTTAACTAATAATTTATTTAAAGTGTTTAGAAAACAACAAATATTTTATCCTATATTTAAACCGATTAATAAGATAAAGCAAAATTTAGGTTATACCACAGATAACATACAGTTAATGGAAAAAAACAGGAATCTATAAAATTGAATGTGAATGAAACATTTATATTGGACAGACTAAACGTAATTTAAAATATCTTTTAATGGATACGTAAAAAAATGAAAGGTAAAAATTCAGCCATAGCAGAACATGTATATGAAACAACACAACATATGGTATTGTGGGATAAAACTGTAACATTAGCTCAACCAAAAGGTATTATAGCCAATAATATTCATGAGTCCTTAGAAATAATTGAATATAAAAAATATCATGTATTATTAAATAGAAATGAAGGTCCGGAGAATATTTATGCAAAAATGTGGGACGATCTTCTCTAAAATGTTCACGCGGGAATTGTAAACCTGTACATAGATCATATGACTGATTGATTTAATATAAAAAAGTATATACAAGACACAATTACGTCTTGCAACTCACTCAATTGCAACGTCAAAATATATATAGTGGTCATACATTGACCTTAATTAAAATGTTTTTAATTGTGTACCTATTTTAACGTCGTGTGTTATTTATTATTTTATATAGATCTTGTTTATACTCTCAACACTTCTTACACTCCAATTTAGTCTTCTTTCCAAATGATCTAAGTGCATTGAGCAATGAGCATGGTGAGTGCTTACACCAAGATATCTCTACAATTGAACAGTGAGAGCAAGGATGATGGAATCCTGCAATGATGTGAGATTACTATTGGTTTTTACAATGTGAAATTGAAAACATACACAAAATATGCAACAAGTCAAACATGGGTATTTTGTAACAAACAATACCATGATGAAAGTTATGAACATAATCTGAATGTATTTTCAGTATATAATCTTATCATACTCATTGCTTTTTTAAACTGGTATTATTATTATTATTATGTATTGTTTTTGAACATTCTTAAATGGAATTTTCAATGAATAAATAAAGTTATTAAAGAAAAAGTTATTTTTATGATATACAAGAATATTTAGAATAAATCTATCATAACCCAAAAACTAGAGATGGTCAGTAATTTTAAAGATGATTTTTAGAATCAGCATTGTCATTTACTCAGAGACATTTGCCTTTTTTTTTCTAGTTGCAGAGAAAATTTTTTGTTGCCTGGTGTAATTTAAATTTTCCTATTACAAGTTACATTTACAAGCACAAAACCAAACAATGATGATACTGTATTAAACCCTCTCCAGGCCAGAAAGGTGAAATTGCATGAAACATAGAGAACACTAACTAAATAGTATCAAGTTTCACCTTAAGAAAATTAAGATAATTTGATTTAGTTTCACTTTAGTTTTTAATTTGTGACAATTCTAAAATGTATTCAATGTTGATCAAGAAGTTCCATTTTATATACCCAATCAGTTTTGACTTTATACATATTCATTAACATATTTTATTTGATGTTTTACTTCACCAATTACAGTAGTCTCTAGTTCCAGCTATGAATCATAAAAAAAAAACACCCTGAAGCTGACTAAGATTTGGATAGAGCCTGACGTTTCAAAATGACATCAAGTCAGACTATATAATGTTTTTAGTTAACTTCTATTTAACAAGTATAGATTATTTTGCATAAATTATAAGTTATTTTATTATGTTCAACTTAACAATGAAAAAGGATGCGAGTTATTGCGATATTTTGCCATTGCCTACTATACCTATACTCTAACTCTAATTAAAAATCTGAAATGCAGGTGTGCATTCTACACATGAAAGATAATGTTAAATATTTGATCAAGGCTCATAGTTATCAACTAGAACACATTTTTTACTTAAATTAACATTGTTTCACCAGTTACTTTAATTATATATCAAAAGAAATATATTTTACCTTAAAAAAAAAAGATAAAAAACAATATAATACAAAAAATTTAAAAGGTTAGAAAAGGGATAGAATAATTACACTGAAAATAAAAACAGTTTTAAAACTTTTATGCCATTTTTTCATATTATACAGTAAACAAAAAGAATACAACCAAATCATCTCTTTTATTGAATATTAATGAAATGGTAATAGTATATCATAATAATTACTATTACAAACCTCATGTGAAAAACTGAGATGTAAAAAGTAATTCTGGGACTGAGCTTGAACCCAGAACCAATGCTAACAAGGTCACTGCTCTATCATCAAGCTATCAAAGAGTACAAGTCGTTCCTGTCAAATTTTCAATTATAAAGCCTCTCACATGGAATATAACCACCAAACTTCTTAACTCATTTTTTTGAGAGTAACAATGAAACATCCATAAGCATTCATTATCTGCCTGCATTATAACTTAGTTATTATAACTTAGTGTTAATTATTGATAAGTGTTTAACTTCACAAGAAAATTTTCAAAATTATTAAAAGGATGTCAAATCATTAATGTTTTAGCCATCACAGATGATGAAATATTATCACATAACCCATAGCTTCTTCCTCTTGCTTTTTAAACATGTTTTTCCATATGTCATTGTGTGATGAGATAGAGAAATATTTATTTTACAAGGAGATAATATGCCATTTAATTATTAGAATGATGTTTTGAAGTTATTTTTGATCAGAATTAGAAACTCTAGTAGACTGTCTGATTTTAACAAACAAATATTAATTATTTTCCTCCATAGTTTTAACTCATCATAACCATTTCCAAACTCGTTGATGTTTTCATTTCACCAATTTTTACTGATGAAAAAGCTTGACCTATATTTAGCCTCAGCCAACTCTTCCAAGTTTAACTAGTTGGAGGTACTAATATTTCCCAACCAATTTACCCGGGATAGGTCGAAGCAAAGTATACAATTCTAGGTGTTTCTAAAGGGATTTTGGATTATTCAGAATATTTTCTTAGAAACTCATCTACTCTCACATTGAATTTTTTTTTTTTTTTCTTGCATACTTGGCTAATCAGGCCATTATTTCCAAATACACTCAACCATGGAAAGACCTTGCTCAAGAACAATAAACAAGTACTACATCATACTGGCTAACCTTGACCAATACAAGTTCTGAATGGTAGATTACATTCTTGTACGTCCTTGTCCCCAGGTACAAAACTTTATGTTTTTGCTAAACTAATGATTTTCTGGAACTAATATACAGTCTAATAGCAAAAAGAATATAGAATCTTATGAAAATTATTTAAATAAATACCTGTTTTAAAAGCAAAATAAAATTAATAGTGGTAAGCCATTTTTGCATATGTTAATGTTGTATTTTAAGAATGTGGTTTATTATGCTCATCCAAGGATTTATTAATTATGTTACAACAATTGGCATCTGGGATGTGTCCATTCATACTCACCATCAAAAGGTTCAATTATGACTTGAGGAGTTCCTTTTCCTTTTATTTCAAATTTAATTTTTCCACCATCAAGAAAAATCTAACAGAATGGTAATATTTTGTTATAAACATTTTGTAGAAAACAAAATCAACAAATATATGCCTAATGCTAGAGTAAATTTCAAATGGAAGCTTGCTCGAAGTATTGTTTTACTTATAAACATTTTTAAATTCCAAAAGGAAATCTAATTTTTTATTTCTAACTGGCCATGAACCAACTCAGTAATGCTTATTAGAACCCCTATACTATTCTTTATTTCTCATATGTGTGTTTCTGGTTTGCTTATTTCCTTGCCTTTTTTTTTGAGTATTTTAACATACTAAAGCTTACACTCTTCCATATATCAAATAAATGTAAAACATTATGTTTTTTGTCATGTGGTAAGAGATGTTTTGTCATTTTTCAAATGAAATTCTCTACTCAAAATTAAGCAATTAATATACATTAACAAATAATTATAACATTTTAATGGAGAATTCAGCAAGCTAAAACACATGTAAAATTTTAGGTGGTTCTCAGAAACTCATCTGACCACTGAAGGTACAGACTTCACTGCTACTATCTTACATACACAAGTCAAGAGATTTCAGGAAATGATTGCTTACAACAGAAACAAAACCAGTGTAAATTGTCAGTACATTAAAAAAACATTTTTTGGGTTAACCTGGTGGCAATTTTATTAGCTAAACCAGAAAATTCTTTCCCCAAAATGTTACTTTCACGGGGGATGAAACTAACTAAGCCTCACAGCAGTACATGGTATGTTGTAATCTTGTAGTGATCTAATTGGTATAACATAAACAAAAAGTAGTTTAATAAAATTATAAATGTAAGACACTAAAACCTTGTGTTATGCGCAGTAAAAGGTACCCATGGCAATATGATTAAAAGGATTCCTCTATTTAGAGCTTTCAGAAAAAAAAAAGTGGGCTTCTACTTTCTTACTGTTACTTTGAGTAGTTTTATCTAATCCAATTATAAACATTAACAGTAAACCAAACAATTAAAGTAAAGGAGCTAACGTGTGTTAGTTAATTTATTTGTATTGTTCAAATTGCTGCTAGAAAGAAAATCACTAATTAATTTCTCGAAGATCAAGCAAAGGAGAAAACCTCATCATTAAAACAAACTGTGATTGTAAATAACTACCCAGGCATAAAATATATATGTCTACCTTTAAAAATATCAAACAGAAACATTTATTAATTCAAGAAAATATTATATTTAGACACCTAGTTTTTAAAAATCAGTGGTGGGAAAGTTTTTGAGCGTTATAAAAGATCCTTTGCAAATTCATTTCTACTGCTTATTTATAGGAGAGAAACGGTGTGGATTTGGTGTATTTGGATTTTCCGAAAGCATTTATGAGGGTTCACATAAAAGGCTTGTTAAAATTGTCTCTGTGAGGTATATGTTGGCTTACTGGATAGAAAAGTGGTTGGATGGAGGAAACCAAAGGTAGTTATAAATGGAGTTCAGTCAAACTGGATTAATGTCACGAATGGGGTTCCTCAGGGTTCAGTGTTAGGATCTTTGCTCTTTTTGATTTACCTTAATGATGCAGATGAAAGAACGATCAATACATTATTTGAATTTCTTGATGATAAAGATTTTGGATGTGCTGGCTGCGAGGAGGATACTTCTGCCTTACAAAAGGATTTGGATTATTTGGAGAGTTGGGCAAATAAATGGTAGATGTCTTTTAATTATAGTAAATGCAAGGTAATGTGTGTGAGATATTACAGTTTGAAATAAGAGAATAATTTTGATGGGAATAGCCTTAATAGTGTCATGGATGAAAAATATCTTGATATTCTGGTTCACCAGTCTCTTAAGCTATCGAATCAAAGTGCTGTTGTCAGTGGTAGAATTTTAGATTATATCTACAGAAATATTGTCTAAATATATAATGTTACTAGTTAGGCCACATTAAGAGTAATGTGTTCAAACCTTTGGCTCCTGTATTAGAAAGGACATTGATTTGTTGGAGAAGGTTCTGAGGAGAGCTATTAGGATGATACCTGGGATGGAAAGGTTGTCATACAAGGACCAGTTAAGACCTTTGAAAATGTTTTCTCTTAAAAAATAAGAATTAGAGGAGATATGATTGAAGTGTTTGAGATTGTTAAAGGTATTGATAGTACAGATGCTGCATATTTTTTTGCACTTTATGATGAGAATGATAGGACTAGAGGACATAAATATAAATTTTTTGGCAGTTTTATTTTTCTAAAAGGGCAGCTAGCCTTTTGAATGGGTTGCCTTCGGATGTGATGGAAAAGCTTAATAAACATTTGAATGACAAGGACAACAGGCTTTTTGAGTTTTATTTTTGTGGATGGGACAATACAGGTGGACGAATGTATCTCTTATTGTCCTTAAATCAAGTTTACTGATGTTCATTAATCATTTTATTTTCTAACTGTAATGTCTTCATCTAATGACAATTAACCAACAAAGTAACATGTTGTGCTTTTAGTGCAAAGCTAATTACTTGCTCATATACTCTATGTCTGCTGTGCTCTTGCAACATTAGCATAATTCATATGTTCAATCATACAATTATATAATTAAACATAATGTACATTAACATGTTCAGTGAAATGCAAGAGTTCCACTTATTCTAATATGTAAAGTCACATAATCGCAACCATAATATTTCTTTATTAGTATAGCAGGTTTCATAATGACACAACATACCAATAAATTACTGCACTGTTTTAAATTAAAATTTAAGACTAGGTACTTGAATCATGTAAACTTTTAATATTTGAAAGAGCACACTTCTCGTTATGTGCGAGTGTGTTCCAGTTTAACTGGCTCGAGAAATTATTCATGCTTTGCATGTATGTGTGTGGATATATAGCTGCATTAAACCTATGTACTCTGCCTGGAATTATTGATATAATATTGCAGTAACATCTTTTTTAATGAATGCTGTGAACACAAATATGACATCAGAAGAGTTCTGTGGATTAAAAAAAATTGAAAATCACTGATCTATGTACACTAAGTAAAGTAATCAATGTAGATTATGTAGGAAGCATTACTGCTTCACATCACTGTGTAAATATCTGTACATTCTGCTTGCAATACTGACTATACACTTAAAGCAAAACATTGAAAGGATGACAAGAAACTGTCACCAACATGGACTCATATTGTGATGAACTCTGACTTGTTTATTACATACAACACTTGATACCTGTTGTAAATTACAAAAAATGTTCCTAAAAGTGATAGATTGTTGAAAAGTCATACCCTATATATAAGCAAGTTGTACACAGTGAACACACATATTTATTGTTCTTATACACTTACCTACTAAACAAGTGAAAGTTCTTGTTAGTATTAAGATTTTATAGATTTAACTAAAACATAAAAAATATACTACAGTTAATTTACTTATTAGTACCCCTATTTGTTTTTTGAAACATGATATCTAACATCTATAGCAGGACACTAACCTTTACAAAACCTTCAACAGAGAATTTGTTGTACAGCAACATGCCCTTTTCATTGAAGGTGCGAAAATCAAAACTTGAGTTCATAGTTCTTTGCATGTAACCAATCACTTTGATGTGTGATTCTGATGTAGTGAATGTTACTGGAATCACCTGCTCATACTAAAAAACAGAAGAGTAGAATAAGTGTTAGGGAAATGAAATCATATCTTTTCCACAAGGCAAGATAAAATATTCAATAAACATTTAGTAACCTCTTAGTCTATTCAAACAAGTACAGTCTCATGCAAAGATAATTTTAAAATTTTAAATTTCAAACTGTATAATTTATTTACTGAAATGTACTGAATGATTAAAAATACAGCTCTAGTTTAAGTCTCTGATGTAATTACTAAATGACGTAGGGTGCATTTTGGAAACTGGATGATCACAGATATGCAACTAAAGCTTGATACTTCAAATTCAAGCAAGGCTTTCTAGGTGTCTTTGTCAATGACCAGCTTCCAGACAAAGCAATTTTATGAAAGACTGGGCTCCTGCTCATTCATCGTCAGAAATGATTACTTGATTTGTTTTGGAGTTTTTTTTGTGCCGCACAATCAGTTAATTATCTCTTGTTTTTTGAACAAGTACAATAAAATAATGAAAATTATAAAAGTGTAAAACAGAAAAGTTATTTTATATAACATTAAAATGTTAAATACAATTAAAAAAGCCCATGGCCTCTAAAAAACTAAAAAACACAATCAACCTGGAAAGTGTCATCACTGACAAAGATACTGCCCAATGTCAAAAAGATACCCAAAGATGTCTAAAATGGTACTATCACTCAGTACCTTAGAATTGTCAAAAAAACAATATGTAAACAATTGTGACTTGAGTGTCACACTCCCCAAGAGGTAAAAGAGAGGACCCAGAGGATGTTCAGTGCCTTGTATACTTGAGTTTAAGCTACTTTTTGTGTGGTATAAAAGTCAGCTTATTGTATCAGCCACCACAGGAATTTGTGCATTCCCCAGATAGAACTTGGGATTGGAGTGCAATCCCTGCTGACATCAGCAATGGAAGCAAACACTTTTAAATAGAAATTTTTTTTTAACCATTTGCAATGGTTCACTCACAAAATTTATTTAGGGCATTTTAGAGCTACCTCTCAATGTACCTCATATTTATAGACCAACAGGAAGTCTGAAGGCATTAAGTCATGGCACTGATCTCAATATTAAAACATGTGATACTTAAAAAACAACCTTGAGGCTCTATGAGCTCCTGTGAAAATATAGAATAAAATTTCTGATACAAAAAATTACAGACAAAATATGTAAATAGCCATATATTCCATATGAATAAAGGTCCTGTAATACACCAAATCTCCATGTTGTGACATAAGCATTCTCAATATAAAAAAACGATAGAAACACGATGCTCCATATTTAAAAAAAGTTTTCCTAATTGATATCTTCTTCTCAAATAAGATGGTCTATGGTGGATCAGTGTGTTTAGAAACACATTGGGTGTTGGAGAAGAGGTTGTTTATTAAGTCAAGGAACCAGACATGAAAAGCATTAACCATCCTCTCCAGAACTTTGCACAGACAGCTAGTCAAATACACTTATTTCTAAAAATAAATGATCATATAACATAAAATGTTTTTTTTTAAATCTAATCCTACGTGCATGGGTGTGGGTTAAAGTGTGCATGTTACAACCTTTTACAGAGTTACATTCAAAATTTAATTAAAGTACTTTATTATCTATGTATATGAATAAACTTGGCATTAAAACATAGTTAATAAATCAACTTTTAATATTATTTAAGTATTACGTTTTTAATTTTATAAGGAAATATTTTATAAAATCCTCAATCTTTCCTAGTATTAGAACTGTGAAATTTGTTCTCTAGTTCTTCCCTCTTCTCTAATTTATTTACCACCCCTCCAAGAAGTATGAAATTTAACATAAATTACTTATTATAGTATAGATATTACTCAGACAAAGCATAAATTTATAGCCTTCAATCTTATTTGGTTACAGAGCCATAAAATACAATATCAGATCCATTTTGTCACACCCACCCATCACATTCTCTATTTCACAAATTGCCAATAGTTTTCTCTGACGTTTTATACTATATTATTTAAAGCCAATGGAAAGTCAAATTTTAATTTATCAAATGACATATTATATTACACTGTTTTCTGTACAAAGAATTTTCTATTTCACTTCCAGTTCAAACTTTATTCCCATATGAAAAACGTAGACAAGCATAGCTCAATTTTGAATGGCTCTTATCGCATAGTTAGAAAGCCAGAAAAATTATGATAGTTATAGGACATTGTCTGCTTTTTATATGTTATTATTCTGTGTTCTGAAGTGCAGGACCTAAAAAAACAGAAAATTAGTTAGTGTGATAAAACCATTAGTATAAAAAAGTAGGCTTAAGTTTCAATGACAGTCAACAACAAAACAAAAAAGGAAGACCTAGATAAGTGCTATATTTCTAGTTTTTCATCACTTTTATAGTAATAATTATAGAATACTCAAGAAAAACAAGAAATATGATGCTTACTTGGATCTATGTTTTATTGTCGACTGTCCATGAAACTTAACCCTAATTTTATATACTAAAGGTACAACTACACTATATAATTTTGTATTGAATTAAATAATGCACCTACAAACCCAGAATAATAATATGTAAAAAGCAGACAACATCAATAATTGTCACAATTTTTCTGGCTTTTTAACTATGCAATAAGAGCCATTAAAAATTCAGCTAAGCTCATCAATGTGTTTCCCAAAAGAATAAAGTCTGAACTGGAATCAAAATAGACAATGTAACATGAATAGGATGTGAGAGGTGGGCATGGCAAGAGGGGTCAGAGCTTTTCTATTTTATGGCTCTGTAACCAAATAAGATTGAAGGCTATAAATATTATTCTCTGCCTGAGTGATAATAATATTATAATGAATAATTTACATTAAATTTCACACTTTTTCGAGGGGTGGTACTTAAGTTAGAGAATAGGAGGTACCTAGAGAGCAAATGTCACAATTTTCACAGTAGTGTGAGATTGAAGGTTTTTTTAAACATTTCCTAATAAAATTAAGAACTTGTAACTTACATAATATCAAAATTTGATTTATTAATCACGTTTTTTATGTCAAGTTCATTCATATACCATGATAATAAAGTAGTTTAATTAAATTTCGAATGTTACTCAGTAAAACCTCATGACATGTGCAGACAAAGATATCCATATGGAAAGAGTTAACAACTTGTATCTGAGGATGAGCACCCACATGAAAAGTTGCATATTAACAATAATGTAATAAGTATTTTATACTTTACTCTCTCTGGTGAAATTTTCAACTCATTATTTGTTGTTATATTTAGTATTTGTTTTTCTGATTTTTAATCACAATTTTGATGTCCATAATCAGTTAAACACCATAGTGCTCTTCTTATGGTATTTTGACATTTTAAAACAACTTTTTTATATTAGTTTACTAAACTCAAAAATACTTTTCATTGCATTAATTTTTGTTTTACAAAAATTTCATTACTAAAATAAGCATGACTAAAACTTTTTTAATCAAATTTCAGCTTATTGTGAAAAATTGTACAAAATAACTTAAACTGTTCACTACTATTATCCAATAACATATTTTATACATATACATTTTATCTTACTAAAGTAAAAATGAGTACTTTTATCAGATATACCTAAAGAATATGCTGTAATGCTAAAGTTTTTACTAGAATTTCTTATGTTACTTACCCGACATGAATAAAATATTTCTCCTTGTTTCTCAAAATAATAACCAGTATCAGCTTTAAGTTCAGCAACAACATTGGTGTGGTTAATGAAAAGATTCTCAACACAACCAGTAAAGTTAGCAGCAACAACAAGTCCATCCTGGTTAAAGTTTGGAAGTCCTCCAATATAGAACTTTTAAGGGGATGAAAAAAAAAAAAGATTAACTGGCTGAAATAAAATGTAAAAATATGCACTCACACATATATAAAATAATTATTAATTTAACACTGTTGTCATCATCTCAAAGAGCAATGTTTATCTTCTGCTAATTGTTAAAGTAGTTTTACAATATACAAAAGAGCTGGGAAGTTAGTGGTTACTTTTTGACTAATTGTAGAGTTCACAATCAATTTCATTCAATCAATCTGTTATTCTCATGTGATAGGTGGAATAATCGTAAACACTAATTTTGATTAATTGATTATTTTCATGAGTCATGACACTAACCAAATGAGTTGAAAAAATCTTTTAATTAATCAAAAATAATAATGAAAAATCATAATGATATTCTGGTGACTTGAATAGTTGAAATAACCAAAAACAGTAATAATAAGAAACACTAATTTTGATCAGTTTATTACTTTTTGACAATTGATTTAATCATAATTTTGATTAACTTAATATTTTATGTGCCATGATCAATGCTCATAGATAATTGATCATGTCAATTAATCAAGTTAATCGCCCAGCTCAATTATACAGAAACTTTTGGTCTTAAAATAATAGAAAAAGAAAAAAAAAAGTTTCTAAACCTTCAGTACTAACCATAAAATTATCCTAAGTTTAAAGCACAAGTTTTACAAAACACTTTTACATCCAATGATCTTATTATTTATTAGTTTCCAGAGCTTAGCAAAAAACATTTGATTAAAAAATTAGCCGATCTATATATATTTCTTGTAAAAGTTATGCAGAACTATAACTCAAAACCTGCTAAAAAACAAAGTTTTGCAACAAAAAAACAATATAATTGTTTTAAAAACTAGACTTTTCATGTATACAAAACACTCAAAATTCTTATTACAACTTCCAGCTAAGGGAATTTAAATGGAATAAAGCCCTCCTCATACAAATATTGCCCAAATCATTAACAACTGTCTACAAAGTAAAAAAAAACATCTAAAAACTGTACATAGCATTTGGATGATGACAAAACACAGAATAAGTATAGTTTCACAAACATTAATAGACATAAATAAATAAACTAACTCAATAAAAAAGTGCTTACAGTAGCAACAAAAATGCAAAATAATGTAGAAATTGGTTAATTTTACAATTAGTCAGGCTTACATATTAAAATATCAACAATGTAATGTAAAATACTTTATGATGCATGTTTTTCCATACATAATTTTATTTCATAATATAAAAAATTACTTGCACATAAGGTTTCCATATTTTTCCATGCTTACCATACTATTGAGATTCAGTTGAGTGAAATCCCCTCTAATCTGTTCTCTTACAACCACTCTATCAACATTAAAGGTTACATCTCTTTGGTATCGAGAAATCATAACATCATGCCAGAGATTGTCATCCAACAAACTGCCCACCTTCACACTGGTCATGATACCTTCTCCTCCTACAATACATTAGAACAGCCTTGAAATAAACTGTTCATTGGAAGCATTTAAAATTTTAAGGTAGCTAATAACAGAAGTAAGAAAATAAATAGATTACTGACCTATATTCTCAATTTGGAGAAGACACGAGGAAAAATGGTTAGACTTAAGGGGACTTAGGTTTAAAAAATCCTGGGAACTACTGTTCTTTGCCTAACTGATTGGATATTATTTTTCATAAGTGATTATTTAAAAGGCATTAACTAATCTTGAATCAGTAGGTACTGAATCTTGAAACAGAACTTGTTTTCTTAAGACTACAGAAATTCTTGAACAAAATTACCACACTAGCACTGCTAAAAATGTCATGGATACTTTTGAAGACTTAGAGACGTTTCACAATTTTACGTTATTAATGTAAATTTATCATGCATTTTTATGAACACGAGACAAATGTTACCATTCACAATTTAACACCTAGCAGGCCTAAAGAAAAAAAAAAGGAAATTTGATCAAAAATGTGACAAGAAGCTTGATTGAACTACCAAAACAGTAATTTCGGATGTAAATATTTAAGGTTTATAAATATAAATATTATTCATACTAGATGTACTTCCACAGGTTTATATGTCATGCTATGTTGTAGCTAAGAGAATGCATAATTCTTCTCATGATTCATGGCATGTACACATTTTACTGACATTACGACAGTACAAATTGCAACATTAAGCATCCCTTATGATATGTCTACTGACTGACAGACAACATACTACTGAACAGTGGTGCGAGTGGTTAAAACAGGTGACCCCTCCAGTCAGCCTTCAGCTCCCTTTCAGGGAAATTAATAAAAAGGTACTTTAGTTCTCCATTTCTAGGATGTTTAACAATGAATAAATATGACACTAAACATCAGCACCTGGCAAGTAACATTTACAAGAGTATTAAGAGATAGGCACTTATAGTTAAAAGTATTTGTTGTAAATTATAATTTTGTAAACTTAAAAAAATGAATATTTTCAGGAGAGTTTAGTATATTTTGTAAATTTATGATCATAGTTAAAGTACTAAAAACACAAACATACCACCTGTATACAACATTTATGAATCAGCCTTGAACTAAAAAATGCAGCAATATCTTGCTTACTGGTATCAGTCGTTTCAAACTACTGAAATCTCTAATGTATTAGTCGTTGTGAGCTCATAATATACTACTCATGGAATTTTGAAAGTATAATAATAAATGCATTATTTCTTAAGAACTTTAAATTGCAAGGAGAAAACCAAACTATGAAAAAATAAGCTGGTTTATGCAACAATATTTATTTAACAATTTTTGACTTATATTTACTGTCTGCCAAAAAATACACTGAGGTGTCAGATTAAACCTGAAATGAAATAAAACAAAAACAAAAAACTTGTGTGGTGTGATTATTAGTTAGACATGGTTCAAAGGTCAATAAAACAATAAAATTGAGTATAAATAAATGTAAACTATTTAAGCCATAAGCTATTCAATAAAAACAACTGTAGTTTTCTGTTACAATCTGCAGTCATTCTAGAAAGAAAAAAAAAAAGAGTAATTTAAATTTAGTTCACTTTTTCTTTATGGTGGTTAGAAAGTCAGCCAAATCGTATAGTTAGGGAAGAAAAAGTAACAGATAGAATAAAAAAGTGTGATATGTATGTAGGAGGTTTTAGAGGATATGCACATGAAATATGAAATTTTTCAGGTGAAAGAAAGTATTTCTAATCTTAATATGAAAATCACTTTGCACTCAGACCAGTCAACACTCTGACTCCACATATTCACGGACAAATCTTTAGTAAAAATGTTTAATTACAAAATCCAAGACTTGTAATGTTTACTGAAAGCTTGCCAAAGATACACAAAATATATTAAAAGTGATAGTATGGAAACTCTGATGGTTACTTTGTGGTTAGAAGATCAGTCACATCAACCAACTCTATATGGAAAGACTTAATGGGAATTAGAACAATATACATATACATATATATATGCTCAGTTTAATGTGTAAGTATTTAAGATATCATACGATCTATCCAGAATCATACAAAAAAACCTTACTGTTCATCTCGAAAAAGCTTACTTTGAGTACTTCATATTAAAATTATTTTGAAGCCTGACCATATTGTTATAGTCCATGTCGCCATATCTGGTCATGTTCTGTTTGACAACAATAACAATAGTCCTGCAGCATAGTTTCCAATTGCAAAAGCATACATCATAAGATATCATGCCCAAAGCACACCCACTCCTCCTCGCTTGCTTTTCATAATCCATTTATTGTATCTGGGTGGTAGTTTCCCATCATCTTTTTCCATAGTTCAATAGGTCTACATATGGAATACCCATTTCTTTTTTCAGGCTACTTGAGGTATGCAATGGTTGAACAAATATGACAAAGAAGCAACCTGTGTATTTGTGACTTGTATTGCTTTTCCATATGGAAATCCTTGATTGTGTTACATACCATTGCCTAGGGCTCATGTACAGCTTTAGCCATTGTCCTTTGTGTTCAGGATATTCACCTGCTACAAGACATTGCACTTCACCAGAGCTGAGGTTAGACTTGTTGCAGATATCTTTCTGGGTGGTCATAGTGACCCTTTAAGATCTAAGCTTATAAATATTTTGTGTTAAAAATGGCTGTACATACCCTTCCAAAAAGTGATCTTTTTTTATTGCATTACAATACCTACAAAATGCTAAGCTACCAAAAAATGTAGTTCTTATAAATTATGTTCCACCATGATTTTATATAAGCTGTGATTATCATGTGATTTGTTGAATTGTATATTCAAAATGGCTTCAACATAACATATTCAACTCTCTGTAATTCACCAATGTAAACATTATAAAAAAAGTTCCCACAAGCAGTTGGTTAGTGAAATGAAGCTGCAATATTAAAGTTGTCACCTACCAAGATCCATGTTCAAAACTAGTTGGTTTCCCACAAGCTGAAGGGCAAGGAAGTCACCTTGACTACCACGACTGTATAACATCAAGCCATCAGCATGATTCGTTCGGAAACGAAACCTAAATACATCCTCCTGTGATGCAACCACTCTCTTACTTAGGTCCATTGACACATAACTTTGGCCATCAAAATTAATGGATTCAGCAACTGAAAAAATGAAAAAATTCTAAAATGCTTAATATTTTAATAAAACTGATTTCATTAAGAATGTTAGTCAATCTCAAAATTTTTAAGACAGCAAAAAACAACCTTTCAATATACATAGAATATATTTCTTTTAAACTGGTGATATGCAAGTTAATCATACAATATTACAAGTTGAGGTGTATGAGATAAATAAGACTTTTAGTGTATGTTGAAAAAAAGCACTTTTTTCAATTTGATTTTAATATCAAATGTTACAAATACAATGTCTCATTGTCTGAGGGTAGTCCTTTCAAGCTGCTTTAAAGACCAACACATATATGAAAATATTACACAAAATGTCAACACTTACAATAATAATTTGATTTTTTAAACATAGAAAAAATGCATGATTTAATAAAAATTAGTTGTAGTTTTATCATTTCTGATAGTCTGTTATAAAGTTATATAATGATCACTCTTACTGAAATGTGTAACTAAAGTATAAATTTTCATTCTTCTACCAAAATCTGTTTCATTTATTAACCATTAATACTTTAAATATAAAAGATTTAAAAAATAGGAGAAAATCCTCAAGTGCCATGGCTGTAATTATATCTCAAATTCATCAAGAGATGGAGCTATGAGATAAAGTTTGTACTTGAAAAAAAAACTCAGCTATACTACGAGTCACTATGCTGTGAATAAAAATATAGAAGCCTTGTGGCACAATACCCGAATGTAACTGTAATCCCAATTGAACGTATTGAATTCAAAGACAGTGTATGAGAGATGGGCCATAAACAATCATTTCAAGTGAAATTGATTCAATTTCCCCATCAAACTTTGCTGGGCCATCACTGCTCACAAAATGCAAGGCTAAACTGTACCCAAGCCCATGAGTCTTGTAACTGATTTAAGTACTGTTTTCACTAGCTCACAAACCTATGTTATTTTGGGTCAAGTTCAGGAATTAAATCAAATATATTTTACAAAGTTTGTCGAGTCAAAATTCAAATGTAACCAATCAACGTATGCTGAAGCAAAGACTGGAAGAGAAAGCCATTAACCTCATTTGAACAGAGTGGAATACTAAAAATGAGGATGCTATGAAAATATCAGTGCTGAATTGCCAATCTTTATTCAAGCTCTATGAAGATCTCTTTAATGATATGACAATCTTAAAAAGTGACATTATCTGCATAACAGAAACTAAGCTGCTATCAAATGACAAGAAACAAAACTTTGTCTTGCCAGATCACAAGATACCTACAGTAAGCAAAAGCCGAGGAAAAGGCACAGTAATGTATACAAGGTCTGAATATAATGGTTTATTCACCTGCACTGTACATGATTACTTTCAAATGTTGAAATTTAAAGGTGATTCAGTTGATATTATTACATTGTATCGACCTCAAACCTGCAACAATGATTTCTGGTACGAAGCTATTAAAAACATGATTCGTCCTTTGAAATTAACTGTACTTTGTGAGGATTTCTATCTACATTATGATCTTTCAACAAGAGCAGGCTCACTGATGTCAAAATTACAAGACCATCACCTGATTCAAACGGTGAAGGAACCTACACACTTAGAGGGTCATATAATTGATCATGTATATACCAGATTGAATGAACGTTCAAGTTACTTTATTCATCCTCTGTACTTTTAGGACCCCAATTGCATATGTTTTACACTTTGGTCAGTTAGACAATATTATGATGATTGTTTATATATCAGTACCTGTAATTTAGTAATCGTATTGTATAAAATAGATCAAGTCATAGGCTTACTGGGGATGGTTCTGGACATCATGAACTTGGGAAGATATTTTACTCAAGCGAGAATCCTCAATATCCACGACACTCGAAATTCTTTTATGCAGGATTACGATAAATTAGTTTGAGACCTTTTTTTCCCTTTTTATTAGTTATATATTTGTGCACCAGCAATACCAAGCGTGAGGCTCGTGTCTACCCGAATTGATTTTATTATTCATCAGGATCTCTGCCAGCCAACCCTCAAATTGAAATTCTTTTAGACAGGATAAATTAATCTATGAGACCTTGGACATGGTTAACTACATCAGTCAAAAGGGTGTGACCTTCTGAGTCCAAAACTGTAATTAGATCTCAAATCGGTCAAGAGATGACAGAGCTGCGAGCTAAAAGTTTGTACTTGAAAAAAACTCGTAGCCATTTTATGAGCCACTATGCCATAGCTAAAAACATGATAACAATGATAAAGTCTGCTTACACTAAATATAAAACTATACAAGATAACCAAAAATATCTCACCATAGTTACAACCGTATAATTCGATTCTCATGGAGATTCTGTCACGCCACCTTGTTGGATTAATCCTAATCCACTGAGCAATGATTGGTGTCTCAAAATCATTTCGGCTCACTGTATCTCCATCTTCATTACCTTCAAATAACTTTGGTCACAAAAGTAAAAGAGTTTAGCAAATATAAAAGCATAGAAATGATTACAAGTTTCTAAACTTAAGGATTTAGTTACATAATATTAGTAATCGGATTGACTGCTATGAACAAAGTCTATGACGTTTTACCTATATATAAATCATATTCAACTAATAAACTTTAACTTGTTGTAATTTTACAATGATACAGGATTCAATATAAGCAGTTTATTAAACCTTATCAGTAATGAAAATTACTCATTTATATGGCTACACTTGGAAATGTTTGATCCACAAAATTTCATATTCCAAAACATTGTTTCATCACTAGTGAATTATAAAAAAAAAATATGGCAAAAAAATTATTGAAGCATTCAAAGCTGGTCTAGTAATCTCGCAACCACATGCCTTTGGCTGGTAGCACACTTTTGAATACAAATTAGGAACTACATGGTAGTTAAGGACACAATGCACTTTGTACTTCTACATACTCTATCTCACTAGGCTTTAGTTATTGATTATCATGGTCACCACTGACAATCATTAGCTGTGTGTTTCATCTCATTTTTAATCATTTCAGAATCAAGCAGGCAATTTACATGAAATTAAATTTGCTTATTTGAGCCTCTTAAAAAATCCCAGTTCAGTTCTAGCCATTGTCAGTCTCCCTGAAGCATAGATCAAACAACGCTCGCAACTTCAGAAAAGTGACTTGAACCAGTAAGTGAAATGAATGTTGCTAGAAATGTTGGTAGGCATTTAAATGTTCTTTTCATAACTTTACCAAGTGCGATAAATGTTGCAGGCAATACATTTACAAATAGCTTTTAATCAGAATTTATTGCAAATAAACATTTTTGATTTTTTCAACAAAAGTAACTCAGAGCAAGCCAAAAAAAGATCTTCAAATGTTGGATCTATGTGTTTGAGAGTTATTGTCAAGAAGTCCTCTAAATAAAACTATCATATTCGAGGCGGACGGTTCAAAATACACCCATGCTTCAAATATATGCAAAACCTGCATGATAGCTAAGAATCAGAATATTTTTACAACTGAAAAAGATGTTAGTACTGAATTACCTTCACTCAGCAAGCCAGCACTGGCTTTTTCTTTTGCATTTTGGTTACTTAAACTTCAAAATCAGTAGCCAATTCAGCTAATGACATATATTAGCTAACTAAGCTTAGACATAATATTAGATCTAATAGAAGATGATTTTTATTCTTTTGTAAGAACACAGTTATGTATACTTGGGTTCTAATACCAGAAACGGGTAAATATGCCGGATCTACTGTCATGTGGTTTTTATTTTGTCTTAAGGGTTCAGGTACATATACCATAGGTTTACTGACAGATAGATTTTAATTCATACTAAACGTACTGTTACATGCACATTGTATCTGCTACTTTATGGTTTTTAATTCATATAAAGAGTTTAGGTCCACATACTTTAGGTGTACTATCAAAGACTTTTATTTCAGACTAAACCTGAATATCAAATGTTTCAAGCATAGAGAGCTAAAAATGACAATTTAAATCACTGCCTTCAAAAGTTCTGATATTATAAAATAAAAACACTGACGTTAATGTGTTGAAAAACTATGCATTATTTAAACGAATTCCAGTAATCAAATCAGTCTTAAGAAGTAACTATTTAAACATATGTAGGTTCACAAATAACTAGTGCTAATTAATTTCCATCACAAAACCCTACTATCATTTTCCTGTTTTAAAAATTAGCTAAAAGCAAAAGTTTTTATAACTGTCAATTACAAACTGTTTCCAGCAGCACCTATTAACACTATGGCAAACTACATAAAAAAAAAAACTTGTCAATATCAACCAATTTTGTATTATTAAGTATTCCTTTAATGCATTTTTTCTTGCAATTAGACTCACTTCTAATTTTTTCTTTCCATTTTAAAAACTTTTAAAGCTGAGAAACAAAAATTAAAAAAAAACATGCTCTAGAGAAACAGAATAGCTATCATTTAATAATAAGATATATTTAATTTCATAACATTGGTCATTTATGGGATCTCATTTACATGTCACCACAACCATTTTCTGCATGAGCCACGAAAGTAAGCTCAAATGACTTAACCATCAATGCTTTTCCACAGCACATAGATACATTTAGTAAATATAATAATAATACTTGAAACAGAATGGCTTACCAACAATTTACATACTCAAATGGGGAACTAATTTATTAAAAATGATCATAGTAAAATAAATCAATGTATAGACATACATGTATTGTATAGTTTTCACAATGTATTATTAAACCTTTGTAACAAAGTCTAAACAAACACTCTTGAAATATTTTTCACCTTACATGAAACATGCAATTCCTCACTTGAAAAAAAATTAGCAATATCACACGCTAAAAAGTAGCAACAAGACATGAAAACCAAAGTACCACAAGCATTCTTTTCAGTTGTGAAAATCAGAGATAATAAGTGCAAAAAGGCACACCAAATCTTCAGAGAATCAAATACACCTGGTCTTATTCTTTACTCAAACCTTTAGATAGTTAAATAGTAAAATATATTTGTTTTTTAAGGTGAAATAGCATATTCCAATTTTTATTTGAGTTTGAAATTCCTTTAATTTATATGCTTTATTACAACTTTTGAACTCTGAAGTTTTAATTTTTTTTTTCAAACCAATTCCTAATTCCGTCTTAAGTTTCTGTCGACATGTTGACCAATCAAGCTACAATTTTAACACCTAATGTACTATTTGTACTAACTGTCAGTGATGAAAGAAGAAGACACAGATACTTTTTGAAGTAAACATTAGTTATGTATATTACAATAATTTCAATACTGTAACAACAAAAACTCACTAAATATTTTAGGTTAATTTTATCCAATAAATTATGGAAAACATACAACCCCACATGACTAGATATATAATGACTTTCACACTTTAGTATAAACAAATGTAGCAAAGTTAATTCTTTTACCATAATCTGATTATAATGATAAATTTACAAATAAACAGATGAATAAACAACTTTAAATACAATTCATGAGAAATTTAAGAGACACCAAAAGAGTTTAATGATATTGATGAATTAAACTACTACATTATAATAATGCTGTAATTGTACTTATTATTATTATTATGTTTTGTTGAAGACCAATATAAAACCTTATCATACCATCTTCCACATGAGGTTTATAAAAATGAATGTATTAAGTGCACAGAGAAATATTTTTCTTTGCCCAACTCTAAACATATCTCTTCATCTGACCCTCAAACCCCTAAAAATAAATGTTAGTTAGTACAATTTATGTGATAATTTTACTTTTATATAACAACATTTAAATGTAATTTCAATCAATCATTATTATATTATAAATCAAATTACTGAGGTTTTGTTTTAATTTTTTTTATTTTATTATGAGGCTATACACTATTTCAATATTACCATAATGTAAAATCTGCACTACAGTGATCATTATATTCTTATTAAACACTCGATACAACCTTCTACAGAAAAACTTCAGTCATAACAAACTTAGTGGAATTTATTCCATTTTAATTTACTTTTTTTGCTTAACTTTCACAGCACAAGCTTGGTCTCATGGACTAACCTCATAACCATTTTGTCCTTTTATAGTTTTTATGCTATAGCTCTTATATCAGTAAGCATATCTTCACCAAAATTTTGCAATTATCACTAAACATTACAAGGCTTTTGTACACAAAATATCAGATTTCTTTATTAAGTTCAAAGATTTTTTAAGTAATGTTTTTCTCAAGCTTGTTTCTTTTTGAATGTTGACTCTTGGTTGTGCAATGTAATTTTGATTTTAAGGTTAAAAATACTTTTACACGTCAGAAAATTTTCAAATTTCACATGCAAAATCTTTACAACCTAGAGATAATTATCAAACATTTTTTAAGAAAAAACTTTATATTTTATCTGTTATTTTTACTATCAAATCTCTGTACGGGTTCGGACAATTTTACCGACCTTGTATCCACCATACAAAATTAGGAAATAAATATAAATTATATTTTTTTGTTCAAGAATGACTACAAATTATAATATAAAAACACGAATGTTTAGTCTAAATACCTTAAATCTCATAATATTATACATTATATATATTTATTATTTTTATTATATTGACCTTTCACCCGTGCCTGTCTAACATTACAGAAGTTACAATGACGTGGCACACTGCACTCATTTTAATGTATCCAAGAATATAAAACTGGCCTTTACAAAGTGACCTATCTTGGCTAGTGTTCTAATGGACAAGTATTTTGTAAAATACAGTCACATTTTGGTTATAATATATTAAATATTCAAATACATTATTACTA